TACTCCAAGGCCAAATTTGCCTGTTACTCCAGGTGTTTCTTGACTTCCTACTTTTGCATTCCAGTCCCCTATAATGAAAAGGACATCTTTTTTGGGTGTTAGTTCTAAAAGATCTTGTAGGTCTTTATAGAACCATTCACCTTCAGCTTCTTCAGCATTACTAGTCAGGACATAGACTTGGATTACTATGATATTGAATGGTTTGCCTTGGAAACGAACAGAGATCATTCTGTCTTTGAGATTGCATCCAAGCACTGCATTTCAGACTCTTTTGCTGACTATGATGGCTACTCCATTTCTTCTAAGGGATTCTTTCCCACAGTAGTAGACATAATGGTCATTTGAGTTAAATTCACCCATTCCAGTCCATTTTAGTTCACTGATTCCTAAAATGTCAATGTTCACTGTTGCCATCTCCTGTTTGACCACTTCCAATTTATGGACCTAACATTCCAGTTCCTATGCAATACTGCTCTTTACAGCATTGGACCTTGCTTCTATCACCAGTCCCATCCACAACTGGGTATTGTTTTTGCTTTGGCTCCATCCCTTCATTCTTTCTGGAGTTATTTCTCCACTGATCTCCAGTAGCATATTGGGTACCTACCGACCTGGGCAGCTCATCTTTCAGTGTCCTATCTTTTTGCCTTTTCATACTGTCCATGGGGTTCTCAAGGCAAGAATACTGAAGTGGTTTGCCATTCCCTTCTCCAGTGGACCACATTCTGTCAGAACTCTCCACCATGACCCGTCTGTCTTGGGTGGCCCAACACGGCATGGCTTAGTTTCATTGAGTTAGACAAGGCTGTGGTCCATGTGATCAGCTTGGTTAGTTTTCTGTGATTGTGGTTTCAGTCTGTCTGCCCTCTGATCCCCTCTCTTAGTGCCTACCGTCTTCCTGGGGTTTCTCTTACCTTGGACGTGGGGTGTCTCCTCTTGGCTGCTTGCGGCTCCAGCACCATCGCCACTTGCTGCTCATAGATACCTTATATAATAAGGCATGGTATTCAGATCCTGCCTTCCTCACTGGCCTTGCCTTCCATTCTCCCCAGTCTTTGTTCAGTGCCCAAGCTCCTGGGATCTAGCTCTCCATCATAGAATGTACCAGGCTTCTCTCCCTGTTTTGTGCTTGCTGCATACATTCCCTTACTTGGGATGCTCTTTGCAAGCTATTCAGCCTGAACAAGTATTACAAGTCCATTAGGTCTCAGCCTAGATCCTCTCTCCCCTGTGATGCTTACCTAATTCCTTCATGGGTATCGTACAGCCTCTTCCCTTGGGCAACCGCCAAACTTTCTCCATATGCTCTGACTAGTGCTATGAAGTATGAGTTACAGAGCTAAAAGAATGTGTTATGGGGTCAGACTGCCTGAGCTTGGCTCTCAGCTCCACGTCTAACTGGGCAAGTCACTAAAATAATGGGAGCCTCAGTTTGTTGTTGTGGTTAAGTTGCTAAGTCATCTTTGACCCTTTGTGACTCCATGGACTGGAGCATGCGAGGCTCCTCTGTCCTCCACTATGTACTGGAGTTTGCTCAAAGTCACATCGTGATACCTTACCATCTCATCCTCTGCTGCCTCCTTCTGCTTTTGCCTTCAACTTTCCCCAGCATTGGAGTCTTTTCCAGTGAGTTGGCTCTTTGCAAAAGGTGGCCAAAGAATTGGAGCTATAGCTTCAGCATCAGTCCTTTCAATGAATATTCAGGGTTGATTTCCTTTAGGATTGATTGGTTGGATCTCTTTGCAGCCCAAGGGACTCTCAAGAGTCTTCTCCAATACTACAGTTCAAAAGCATCAGTTCTTTGATGCTTAGTGTTTTTAATGGACCAACTCTCACATCCATACCTGACTACTGGAAAAACTATAGCTTTGACTAGATGGACCTTTGCCAGCAAAGTGATGTCTCTTTTTAATACCTGTCTAGGTTTGTCATAGCTTTTCTTCCAAGTGGCAAGAATCTTTTTAATTTCATGGCTGCAGTCACCATCCACAGTGATTTTGGAGCCCAAGAAAATAAAGTCTGTCACTGCTTTTACTTTTTCCTTTCTCAGGGCTCAGTTTACTCATCTGTAAAATGGTATTATTAATAATATCTACCTCACTGGCTGTGGGAAAGATTAAAAACTACAAAGAAGGCACTTGGCACGGTGCCTGGACTATGGTAAGTGCTCAGAAACATCTGGCATTATTTGTTGTTACTGTGTAATGATTGACTTGCATGGCTAGCCACTGAATTAAGGGACTATAAGATTTCATCTTTACATACTCTGCACCACTGTAGAACTTGGCATCATGTCCTTGAAAGTTTATTGACTAAATGAATGGATAAATGAATGCTTTAGAGAGTAAATTCAGTTACCTTCTTATAATTATCATTTTTCAGGATAGTAGTTCCAAGAATGGGCCTCAAAGTCATGCAAAAAGCTAATGAGTATTATTAATTCAAGGAGCCAATATTTTTCTTATTAAAATAAAGAGTCACTTCCTGAATACATTTATTGTATTATCAGCCCTGAGAAAGATTAATCTAAAAGCTATGAGGTCTCTCAGCAATGCAGGACCTTGTCTATTTCCTATAAGATTTCTCACCATCATAGAGATGACAGTACTTCTGATCTACAGAGATTGAGGACTAATGGGATAATGCATTTCATGAAGGATTCCTAACCACAATATGAGTGGGAGCAACATTCAAGCACGTTTTTGTTATCTTGTGAAATATTATCTTGTGAATTCATGTTTTCTATTTGATTGCTTTTCTCCCCCTTGAGAGAATTGTGGTTCCACTCAAGCCCAGGCACATGCAATGCCTTTGGAGTTGTGTGGTGCTGACTCGTGTCCTCGGGGACTGTAAGTACTAAGGGTGATGCTGCTCTGTGCATCACCCCAGAACCAAGACTCTGCCATCAGAATGAGATGATGCCTTACTCCACCTGCAAGAGAATGGGATTCTGTTGGCATTTTGCAAGTCTGAGTCCAAGCCAGACAGTCTGGCAGTTATTTGGGAGAATAATATTTGTCCTGCTTATCTGCAAAGGCTTCTGGAAGACTCTAGTGAGCGATTTTATAGAGTACAAAGTGATCTACAAATACAAGCATTTTTATTATTATTAAAAACACATCTCATCTTCCACTGGAACCTCTAGATAAAGGAATGTTGGTATGATAAAGAGCTAGAGCTAAAGGGGGAAAAATGCTAAAAACCTAATTACCAAATATGGCATTAAGAGAGTAATTACTTGATTAATTAATGGTAGGGGCCCTAGGTTTAAAGTCTTTCAGTTATACTGACATCAACCATCTTTGCCTATCAGGATTGGCTTATTTCTGCTGACGAAAAACTACCAAACCACTGAGGCCTAACTGACATGTGATTAATATGGGCTCTGTTAGTTGTATGGTTGAGTTTTATGCATGAAGCTGTATCCCTGATTTTTCTCCCTTAATTTCTTTCTGTTTAACTGTTGGTTGTAAAACAGTTTTAAATATATCTGCTGAGCATGAGTGCAAGTTTTGCCACTTGAAAAGTGCCTGAGTCAGTTTGGGCATGTCATGGAGTAAAACAGACTTGGGGGAACTGATAGGCTGTGAGATGGACTGCCGCCTGGCTTCCACTCCCGACCCTGCTGGCTTTTTCCTGCAGCTGCTCACTGGCACCGAATCTCATCTGTTATCATTAAGCACATGCATAGCATCGGTAGTGGCAAAAGGCTTAATCACTTTCTTCTTTCCAGCCCATCTGATGGCCCTCTTCAACCTCTTTCTGGACAGATGGAGATGACGACAGCTGCCAGTCTGGTCTTCTCAGCAATCATTTACCCTTTCTGTTAATGGCACCTGATTTTCTTTTGGGACCCTACCCTTCCTCCTACACTTTGCCTGCTTATGTTCTCTGTGGTTAGAGTAGAGCTGATCTCATTTCCCTTGCTCCAAGGCAGGTCTTACACAATTAGAATCTCAGTGATTGGTTTAAGGATGGGCATGTGACCCAAGCTGAGCCAGTGAGAGGCACCCCTGGGACCCAGGTGGCACTAGTGGTGAAGAACCCACCTGCCAAAGCAGGAGACGTGAGACACAGGCTGCAGGTTCTATCCGTGGGTTGGACAGATCCCCTGGAGGAGGGAATGGCAACCCACTCCAGTATTCTTGCCTGGAAGATCCCACAGACAGAGGAGCCTGGCGGGCCATAGTTCATAGGGTCACGAAAAGTTGGGCACGACTGAAGCGGCTTAACGCACACACACATGGGGAAAGAACAGCTCTCTCTTTCCATTAAGCCTGGAGTTTCTGGTCTCTTTGTCACAAACAACGGAGAGTTCAGCCAAGAATGCAGACAGAGGAAAGGAGAGCCAAGAGATGGAGAGAGATAAACTCTGCTGGCCTTGTTTGAATATGTGGGTTTAGTCATACCTGAAGACAAACCTGATCCTGTGCTTTGCCATTATATGAACCAGTTTGAATTGATTTTTGTCACTTGTAACATAGAGTCTTGACTCAAATGATGCTGCTGATCACCATACCTTCTGCCTCAGCATTTATGTTCAGATCCTTAAGAAAAATGAGAACGAGACAGAAAGAAGTCAGTCTGCAGGAAATAAGATTCAGTGTTTTAGAAATACCTATACTTTTTTTTTTTTTTTTTTTGCCATGCTGTGAGGCATGTGAGATCTTAGTTCTCCAGCCAGAGATTGAAACTGTGCCCCCCTGCAGTGGAGTGCAGAGTCCTGACCACTGCACCACCACAAAAGTCCCACAGATACATATACATTTAAAAATATATATTTCCTCCCCTAGGAAAAGTGCTTGGGTCCATCAGACACTTTCCCTTATTTTATTGGAGTGGTCTGATTAAAGTGATTCTGTGACATCTTGCTGGTTGGAGAATGGCTTCATTCACTGGAGGAGACGCTGCAGTTCATTCATTCATTCAATGATGGGTGTCTACTTGTGTGAGGCGATAAAGATGTGTCAGGTAAACAAGATCTCTGTTTATCTAACAGAGATTACAATCTAATAGATTTTAGTGAATCAAGAATCAAGGATACATAGATATAGAGAAAAATGAACAGATTTTGATAATACCCTTTATTGATGGGTAGAACCACCTGCGGATAGATCCTATGACTTTGAAGGTATGTTCATAATATTATTACAGAAATATTCATGCTTTGATATTTGTTTTACTCTATAATGACCCTCAGGTCTTTTAGTTTTTATTCTTAAAAAGGAAAATTTTCTTAAAAAGGAAATTGAGGCAGCTCAACGATAAGAAGATTGGAAGGACTGAAAAATACGCCCCCCCCCCACCCTCCAAGCCCCATTAATCCTATTACTCTAAAACAACTGACTTTCTTTGGGGCTACTAAGATTTTTGCAGATTTTGGCACCTTTACTCCAGTGAGCTATAAACAGTTTATGTGGTTGAGTGCCTTTTATTTTCCCCAGCTCTGCTGATTGTATCAGAGGCCAGAGTTATATTTCCCAATTCACAGAGGGGATAACCAATGGAGAGAAGGCTAGAGTTGTCTGAGGTATCACAGTTGGAGCTTGAGACAGATACTGATCCTCTCTGGTCCTTATGAGGTCTTTCAATGACCCTCTCTCCACTCTCAGCCTTGATTCACCATTCCCCAAATATGGAATCCCCAAAGGCATTCCATGCCTTTATCACCGCTGTTCTTTATCCTGGACTGTTTGTACCTCTGTGTCCCTTCCTCTCCTGAATTTTCACCTCTAGCTGTCCTTTCAGACCTCAAGAAAAAGCCTTCTCTTTTCATAAAGCTCTCTGAGATCTTTCCTAGATAGAAGCAATTTCCTTATATTCTCTTCTCATTATATTTTATTTATTCCTGCAGCTTTTTTTCAAACTTAAAGTCTAATATTTATTTACATACCTCTCTCTCCTGATGGCATGTAAACTCATTTAGACAAGGAAAGCTGCCTGGCTCCTCCTTGTGACTCTG